CCTGCTAGAGCAGAGAGCAGGGGGTGTGGCCACACCCTGCCCAGGGTCAGTGAACTGAGATGGGGAAGGAGGTTTAAACCCCAGTCCTGGCCCCGGACCCCAGCACCCCCCTGCCCCCCCCAGTAGACCAGGCTGCTCCCCCAGCTGAGTTTCCCACCCCCTTGTCTGCCAGCCCTCACTGCTTTGGCTAGGGAGTAGAGAGGTGGGACCAACCCTGGTCTCTGGAGCAGACAGCACAGCTCAGCCCAGGGCTACAAAGTATCCTGGGATGCTGGAGGACTGTGGTTTAACTTGATCCAGGAAGGGGTCTGGGACAGAAGTTTCATAAACTGGGTTGACCTAAATCAGTTAAGTCTGATATTACATTCAACTAGATTGATCTTAAACCATTTTCAGCATTTTGAAACTGAGTTATAGGCACTGAACTTCCGTTCTGTTACAGGTTTAAACCAGTTTCTAATCACTTAAACTGGTTTATGCGTAACTTCTGTTCCTAGCCTTGCAGAATAGGCAGCCAGGATTTTCCCCTTCTGCATGTGCAGCACACTCCTGCTGCCTGTCCCACCCCCAAGAGCAGAGGGAGGAAGTAGGAGGAGGGAAGGAGAATCTGGTTAGTTTGGCCACCTAAGCTTTTGGAGCTGTGGCAGTAATTGCAGCTGGGTGGGAGCCAGGGGGCTGCATGTTAACTTCTCAGGGGCTTTGTAGCTGGTCCTGGCCTCTGAGGGTGGCCATGATGGTCTCAGATGGCCCCTTACTTCTTGCTCCCACTCCGGCTCCTTGAAGTATCCTCCCTTCCTCTTCTGCCATGCCTTGCCGTAATTTTTTTTTTGTGTGAAAGGGAAGATGTCCTCAGGGTCCCAGAGTGAGCCCAGTCTGGCTCCACATTGCCCCAGGACACTCAGATGTGGGCCTCTGGGTCTATTAGTGCCTCAAGGCATCAGTCAACTTATGGGATATTCATGGTCTTCTTCCACCCCTATAGCCATGCCCATGCCTTGCAGATGTTACCTTAGAATAGATCCATGAACCAGTTGGTATGGGCTGAAGCCCTCTTGGTTTTAGCCCTCTGGTTGCTCTCACTGTAGACTGCCAGCATAGGTCCACTTCCTCCGGCCCAGCTTTTGAGTCTCAGCCTGGTCTCGCCCATCTCCCTTTGTTCAGTGCCCTTGGCTCTCTCTGCTTGGGCCTGCCCCTATTTGGCCATCGGAGCTCAAGCCCTGGCCCACTTGCTTGGAGCCTTCCCCAGATAGAGCTCAGGATCTGGAGTACCTCTCAGACACTCCAGTATGGAATTCTGCCCTTCTTTCCAGCCACTATCCGGTCCTCTGGTAAAAACTAAAACAAGCACTGCAAGCCCACTGCTTTAAATGAAACATTCAAAGTTCCCTCTGGGTTAGTAGGCCGCTGTAGAAGCCTCTTCCCCGCTCTCCGGCCCTCTCTTGAGCCCCTGGCATACCTGCTGCGGCCCACAGCTTCCACACCTTTGCCTGCCTGTGCTGGCAGGAGATTTTCTCCATGCAGAGTTCAGGATTGCATGGCCCCTCTGACTCAGGAACTCAGGCTTATAGTCGCTGAGCTGCTCCTCCTTTGGTCAGGTGCTCTCCTGATCTGCCATAGGTGTGCCCACTCAGCTTGATGGGCAGCTTACTGTATCTAGTTGCTCCCTTGCTGCTTTCCCTCCTGAAGCTAATCCTGTTCAGTTGCCTGGGCCTTTTCTGCTGCAGTCTCTCTTAAAGTAATGGAATCCCCTGGCTCCCTGTTACAGGCATCACGAGACACACAAGCCATCAGTTGGATAGCCCTGCTTTAAATGAATCAACGATGTTGCCAATGTGGCATGTTAATTTTTATTTTTTTTTAATGCGGAAGACATAAATACCCCGAATCGCAGGAAAAAACAATGTGTACTTTTATCATTAGCCTCTCTGCTGTCCTAAAGTTATGGGTATATTTCTGTGGTTCCTGATTTCAAAAGTATTCAAACAAAACTTCTTATCTTGATTATTTTCTTATCTTATTACTGCCTATTTTAGCTAACTAGGTTTCATTGGTACCTCACAGGGTGTTAATGCTTAGGTAAACTTGCCTTACTTGCAACTTATCCCTCTGAATTGCATCCACCATAGTCTCTTAGCACCTTAATAGAACATCAAATAATATCAGTTTCATAATTTTGCAATAAGTATTTTAATTTTTACAATAATTTAAATGTAATTCTCTCTGAAAGAGAAGCAATTGCATCTTATACACTAAAGACCCTCTCTCTCAAGCTGCAGGTGGCGTTGTTTGGAAATGCTATATATTACAAAATAGATACGTGAACATGCAGGGAACCAGAAATTAAAAACATGCATATTTGAAACTTAATAAACTGTCAGTGTCAGAGAATATTTTTTTTCTCCAGGTCCATCTGAAGGATTTGTTTCCATTTAAAAAAATGGAGGATATTATTCAAATTGTTATATAGTTACATGCATTTCAGGTTGTGTATTTAGAAATTGATTTATTTTTAACTTGTTGACAGGGGAGACCTTGCTTATTTTGATGGTCTAAGTGAAACTATTCTTGCAGTGGGTCTTGTGAAGCCAAAGGCAGGTAAGAAATTGCATGGCAGTGACCTGAACTCTGTAGCTACTGAACACTGTAAAAATAAAAACAACCAGTAAATTCTAGTTCATTATGGAATGATACACAAGTCAAAGTAAACATGATAGAATTTATAGTGTTATGCTTTAGGTACTTCGTAATGTTGCTAAGTTAGCTTTCTAGTGTTTTATACTATTTGCGGAGTGGAATTTCTGGTTGACTTTTATGCAGCATGGGGGACTGATTTCTGACCCTTTCTTGGTGTAGCAGTTGCTTGCCTCAGTTTGTAACGAAGGGCAGAGCAGAGGTAGGGTTGTAGAAGTAAGCAAGGTAGTAATAAGATAGATATTATTTTTAAAGTTTAGTGTTTCATATTGAGCAGAATGATGATGAAACATCTAGCTTTTATATTCTAAATATGGAGCCTCATAACGTATTGGATCTTAAATATGACTAGAACTTAGACCAGTGTAGGTTTTTATCCTCCCTGCAAGTGAGAGGTGAATCATACTGTGTGTGTGTGGCATGTGGACTAAAATCTATTTTTTCTTATTTTCTTAGGTATTTTCCAGCCACATGTACGTCACCTACTTGTTCTGGCCACTCCTGTGGATATAGTGATTCTAGGACTTAGCTATGCTAACATACAAGCAGGTAATATTCTCAATTTTCCTAGTGGGAAATATAAATTACTGGGATAATATTCTTAGTTGGATGTTACCTACTACACAACTGGTCATTTAATTATAATAAAACCTACAAACCTGCGTGCCAGTCTCCTCTGATGTTTCTCAGGCATCCCACAACCAGGCTGAAACTATACCCTTTTCTATAATTCACAAGATTCCGTATTTGTAAGATTCCAGAAATTCAGAAAAGCCTCCTTGTGGTGTTACTTGCCCTGTAATTCTTTTGAAGGTGCTTCTGTTAGCTTACCCTTCACACTTCACTTCATTAATGGGAATGGGAGGAGGATGTGTGTGTGAGATGTTAGTTGTTAATACTTCTTAGTGGCTAGTATTGATCTCTGTGGTGTTTGATTTAAAACATAAAAAACTAGAACCCAATACTATGACTATTTGCAGCATGAAATACATAGAGAACCTAATGGAGTGTTTTGAGAAATTCTGAGTGGTCCCAGGGACACTTAATTTTTTTCATCCTATTATGACGCCTTGCTTTGGTAGAAAAACCAAGAAGTCTTTATGTTTAGATCTGTCAGGTAACAGTTGCCATAAACTACATTAAAATACAGCACGTGTTACATTTTCCTTCTCTTGAAAGTTTGTAAACCAAATTGGCTGTGAGAAAAGAAAGTCTGTCAATTCAGTTTTGAAAGAATAACCATTCTGGTACATATTAGCTGAATGAGCTACAAACTCTTGGTGTATTTTTTTTCTTTTTTCTTTTTTTCTTTTTAAATAGATCTCGATGTAGAAGCATAGCAATGAAATGAGCTAACCCAAGGATATGAAAACATTTTTCTCTTCATTGTAGGTACGGGAGTCCTCAATGACAGTATGTCTGGTGGAATGCAGTTGCTACCAGATCCTCTCTATTCACTCCCTACTGATAACACCTACATTCTGACAATAACTTCCACTGACAATGGGCGTATCTTTTTAGCTGGAAAGGATGGCTGTTTATATGAAGTTGCTTACCAGGTGAATATAGTCTTTTTTTTTTTTTTTGGTTGTAGGATTAAAGTACTTGAAAATTTAAATTTGATCTCAGTTCTTCTGTTGTATTTCTACAATTTCCTTTCATGCTTTAATTTGAGTGACAGCTTTGGGCTCTTAATACAGAAATGCTATCAGTCTAGAGTCCTGGCAGATGAGAAACTACTAATTTATATGAGGAAAAAGCAAATTATGCTTAATCAGAAAAGGGCACATATGGGATGAGAAATCTTCTGTGACATCTTCGTAAGGAAGCTGCTGTTTCCACTCCCTTATCTTACTCAGCCAAAACTACTTTGACTGTGCATTAGCTGTTCTGATTAACAGAAACTGATAAAGACAGAAATTGGCTTGGATGGGGCTTAATCTTTTGTCATAACTTCAATTTCAGTTTAGTGAATTGTTCTTGGACCCAGTCTCATTGTCTCTTAGTAGGACACTATGTAGTTAAGCCTTGTAAAATTAGTGTTTTAATTGTAATAAGCAGACAACTATGAATTATTTGCATTGTCAGCCCTTCAAGGCTCATTGTGCTAGGCATTTTAAGAGACAATCTTTGTTCCAAAGATGTTTCAGTCTTAGTTTTAATATGAGACCTAACAGGCGTATGGAGCGATCTAATCTGCATGTACTGTATAATCTTCAGGTAACATTTTCCAAAACCCCCAGCAGGTTGGATGTGATTTCCAGTAAAATTAATCAGAATTGGGTTATTAAGACCTTGACGTGGCTTTCAAAATTTTAACTATAGAGCACTTTTGTTGTCAGTGGTCAATGGAGACAAGTGTGGGAATATCAATGAAATAGAAATCAGTAAATGAAAATCCAAATAGATCTATTTAATGAGGAATAAGAGTTAATCATAGTATCCTAGCGCTTAGGGTCAGAAGGGACCTAAACAGATCATCAGGTCCAACCCTCTGCCCCGGGCAGGAACGGGTGCTGGGGTCATATCACCCCAGCCAAATATCCATCTAGCCTCCTCTTGAAGACCCCCAAGGTAGGAGAGAGTACCACCTCACTTGGGAGCCCATTCCAGAGCCTGACAGCCCTAACTATAAAGTAATGACTCCTGATGTTCAGCCTGAACCTTCTCTCTAACAATTTGTGGCCGTTATTCCTAGTAACCCCGGGTGGTGCCCGGGGGAACAGAGCCTACCCCAATTCCCGCTGGTCCCCCCTGGCCACCAGATCCCCTCTCAGCCTCCTCTTGTGGAGGCTGAATAGATTCAGGCCCTTTAACCTCTTTTCATAGAGCCTGCCCCGCTGCCCCTTGACCATGCGAGTGGCCCTCCTCTGGACCTTCTCAAGGTGAGCCACATCCCTCTTGAAGTGTGGCGCCCAGAACTGGACGCAGTACTCCAACTGTGGCCTGACCAATACCGCATAGAAGGGAAGAATCACCTCCCTGAACCTGCTTGTGATGCATCTGTAGATGCACACAGTGCAGCTAGCCTTACTGACTGCTTCCTTGCATTGGCGGCTCATGTTTATCCTGGAGTCAACAATGACTTATATTTACGATCAGGTCACAAAGTCCCTGAATGAGGGTATCAGGGTGGATGACGTCTTCCTGGACTTTAAGAAGGCCATTAACACAGTTTCCCACCACATTCTCTTAAAAAAAACTAATATTAATATAATACTAAACAGATGTCTAGCAATATGAGCTATTTTAATAGCACCGAAAAATGGAAGGTTCTCCACCTTGGGAGGAAAAACCTGCAGCATGTCTATAGGTTCGGCAGGGCTACGCTGACTAGCTCTACGGACAAGAGCGACTTGGGGGTCAGGATTGACCACAAGATGAACATGAGCCTGCAACGTAATGCTGCAGCCAGTAAAGCAAGCAAAACACTGGCTTACATCTGTAGATGTTTCTCGAACAAATCCTGGGACGTCATTTTCCCGTTGTTTGGGCTCCACAATTCAAAAAGGATGTGGAGAAGCTTGAGAGTCCAGAGGAGAGCCACGCGCATGATCAGAGGTCAGGAAAACAGACCTTATGACGAGAGGCTGAGAGCCAAGGGACTTTTCAGCCTGGAAAAGTGCAGGCTCAGGGGCAACCTGATGGCCACCTATAAGTTTATAAGGGGTATTCACCAGGACCTGGGGGAATGTTTGTTCACCAGAGCGCCCCAAGGGATGATGAGGTTAAACGGTTACAAACTATTGCAAGACCTATTCAGGCTGGACATGAGGAAGAATTTCTTTAATGTCTGAGCCCCCAAGGTATGGAATAGCCTGCCATCGGAGGTGGTTCAAGCACCTACATTGAACACCTTCAAGAGTAAATTGGATGGTTATCTTGCTGGGATCCTATGACCCCAGCTGACTTCCTGCCCCTGGGGCAGGGGGCTGGACTTGATCTTCCGAGGTCCCTTCCTGCCCTAATAACTATGAAATCTATGAAATAAGTGTTTCTCTGTGGATGTTTCTGTTACCAAAATAGTCATTACAGAAGGGGAAAAGAGAGTAATTATAACAATGAATTTTAATCATCAAAATTGCATCTTTCCCAGAAGACCATGATATAGCTATAAAGATTCCTTAGTAGTCAATATTTTAAACACAGTTTCTAAGTGATAGCCCTTTGAAACTAATGGAAATATTTTTTAGTATATAATTTTCACTCCTTTTGTTTTTCTTTTTTGTTTTCATTTCAATAATAAAAGGTTAGTTTCGGAAATATTTCTTACCAGTTTTACTATTTCTTATACACTAGCATTCAAATGGTATAGTAATATGTGAATTGAAAAACCTTCAGGGAAATATATAGAAACTGTTGACAGTAGCCCACTGGAAAGAAATCAATGGAAATATTTCTATTAGTAACTTTGCAAAAGCTTTATTTATAAATCTGTATCTAAAATGCTTTATTTATAAAGAACCAGAATTGTTCTCTTGAAATTTGCTTTGCGTACTTCTAATCACAACAATTTAAGGTCTGTAAATCTTCCCTTGAACTGGGGATTGCAGCTAAGTGTTTACAAAGCATCTGGTTTATGATCCCAATTGTCAGTGTCAAATTGTTGTCCCTTTTATTTTTGTTTAATGTTTTCAGCATTCTTTTTCTGAAAATATTCATCAATCACAAAGTGAATAAAACAAATGCTTTTCACATAAGCGTACACCACAAAACCAGAATAGGGCATGTGGGGCACAGTAAATGTGCTTAATATTTCTTTTTTAAGGGTGTGAACCTCTAACACGAAGCATATATTTTTTAAATCTTAACTTGATAGTTGTGCCATTATGTGCAAATGGATTGTCATCATGTGTTTAAAACAGACTTGCTCTGAATTGTCGAGACCGAAAAGATGGTAAAAGAAGTCATAAAGTTTTATAAATGAGACCTAGCATCTCATGACTTCTAAAGCATAGAAATGTTAAAATGTCTCACCTTGTCTGAAATAAAAAGCTTGCAATTTTGTAAATAAGATGTAATGAAGCATTGTATGAGAAGATTTCTTATCTTCTCTGAATCGTTTTTCAGCTTTGTGCTTGGATGGTTCCAGTTCTTTGTTTATTAGATCAAGCTTACTTTCCATCAAGATTACTACCATTGTTTCCTCACCCTTTAGTCTTCTGATCCTTCCAGTACCTGTATTGATTGTTTTGCAAGTTTAGTGCCTCTATGTGATGTTGTTTGCATTAAGTACGTACCAAATTTTGATCAAAATCCTCATGCTCAATGTACATTTCAACCTACTTGGAATAGTTCAGTAGAAGTAAAGAGACAGCTTGGGCCAGCTCTTCCACAGGAATATGTTGTAGTCAGTGAAGCTGTGACGGTTTATACCAGCAAAGAAGCTTGTTCAGAGTTTAAGAGGGTATCCTTAACAAGCTTGAAGCATCCTTTCTTGCTCTTTCTTTTTTTTTTTTTTTTTAATCTGTGAGGAGGCCCATGGTACCCAACTTTGTTTTAAGAATTTCTAGGTTCCACTTCTTTCTTAGTCACGGTTAAATGATGCAAGTACCAGGGAATCAAAGGTGTCAGAGTTGGATATTTTCATTTAAGAAAACTTTTAGATCATTTTTTTTTAATTTGTTCCATCATCCTCATTTTGAAGATTTTTCTGTTTTGTGGGTTTTTTCCTTTGCCACTTTGACGACAACATTCTGGTGTTCTTGTGTTCATATACGTCATCAATAACATTTAATATAAAATATATTTTTTTTCCCTGTAGCATGCTAGACTTTAGTAGGTGACTTTTTTTTTTGTTGTGTGACCGAACAACCTTCTTTGTTTAGCATTGGTTCTTTTAGTTCTTTAACACTTTATTTGTTTGTAATTGTAGGCTGAGGCTGGCTGGTTTAGTCAACGGTGTAGGAAGATCAATCATTCAAAGAGCTCCCTCTCTTTTCTTATTCCTTCATTGCTGCAGTTCACATTCTCAGAAGATGGTAGGTGATAAAATATGAACAGCTTGAAAATTAATGCAGATGTTTAAAATACTGTATTTACATGATTCTAAGACAAGGTGGGAGTTTCTCCATTTAGCATGGTGGGGGGAAGTACTTCATCTTAGAATCAAGTACAGTGGTGGAAGGAGACAGGGGGCAGACAGGCAGCTGCTGTGGCTCAGACTTCAGCCCCTACCCGGGGTTGGGGGTCATAGCCTCAGCTGCTGCCTGTCCCCCCCTCCACTGCTGCCTCTGCATGCCACCATCTACCCTCTACAGCCTTGTCCCCACACCATCATGTTCCCCCCAGCCCATGCAGTTTCTGCTTCCCCGCCTGTCCCCTTTCCTTCCTACCCACCCCCTTTCCCTCACTCTGCACAGCAGGCTCTGTCCATGTTGCAGTCTGGGGCATTGCTCTGTGCCCCAGGCTGCAGGATGGATGGTGCCTGTGGGAGCAGAGCAAGGGTAGATAACAGGGCAAAGTAGAGAGCAGAGACTGGTGAGTGGGAAGAGGGAGGAGAACCAAGGCCGGGGAGGGAAAGTAGAAAGGAAAGAGGGGCCCAAGGCTTCTGTGGGGGACAGGCACAAGCAGGGGGCAAGTTGCTTGACCACCCAACATATTCTCTGCATTGCCTGCCTCCCCTCAGCAGTCAGGAGAATGAATTAAAGATGATCCTCCAATAATTAGATTCTATAAATTGGAAATTATAACATTTATACATTTTCTATGTATAGAATCTAGTTATTGGGGGGGCGCTTTTAATTCAGAGTAATCTTAGATCATGTAAATACAGTAATAACCAACCAATATTTTAGTACTTGGGTGCATTTACTTAAATTTAATGGAATTTGCAACTGTTAAGCAATTCTGAAAATCAGGTTGTTTGTTTGGATGCCTAAATGCGGATTTTGGTGTCGAGTATGAAAAAGTTTGGCTTCTGTGATTAATGTGTCTGATTTATAGTACATCATTAGGAAGTTATATGCTGGGCTGATTTCCTCACCTTCCCCCTTTTAGTCCCATTTCTTTGTATAGCATATTTTAACTTGAGATTATTATACAAATATTTAAAATGCTTGTTTTGAGATGAATTGAACAATGGTAATTTTCATTTTACTCTGTTCTAGTAAGGTCTTTTTTATGTTGCTGAGCATGGACCCACTGTAAATGAGTTGGCCAGCTCTAATAGGATCATCTGACAAAGTGTGCTGGTGCCTACAAAAACTTAAATCTGCCTCTGCTGCTTAATCTCTAAGGTGCCACCTGATCCTAACATCTGCTTGACCTCAGGCTAACACAGCTAACCATCTCTACGCTCTGAAGAGTAATTCAGTCAAAATGCAGATCTGTCCATGTAAATCTTTAGTGCAGTAAAGGGTCTGTCTGAAGTAGTTTACAGGAAGTCTAGTCATAATTTCCATGTTCTTCCTTTTGCAGATCCCATAGTTCAAATTGCTATTGACAACTCTCGAAACATCTTATACACCCGTTCAGAAAAAGGAGTAATACAGGTAGGAGGGCTTGTCCTCTTTGGAATCTCTTATTGGCGATGTAATTTTTATTGTCCCCATGTGAAAAATGTGATACTTACCCGAAGCCAAGAAGACTTCTAATTCAAGCCAACACCCCCAATTTGTTATATTTGTTATAATTTTCAATGTAAATAATTTAATTGTTGGAGGATTGTCTTAAATGTGTGTTGCCACTGCCCCTCCACTACTGCTGTGGGGAAAGCAGCAGCTGGGGTACAAGTGGTGGGGAAAGCATTGTGGGGAGTAAACAGCCTGACCCCACCATTTGCTCCCTCCACTACTTGCCCCCCACCTGCCTCCCTTTGCCGCTGTCCCTGGCTGATCTGAGTGCAGGGGGAGCCCCAGATCTGCTCCTGTCTTGCTCCTCCCCTGTTACCACAAGGAGCAGCTGTGTGGGGAGCTTGACTCAGCTGGATACAGCTGTAGGAGGGTGCAGGGTTCCTCCTTCCACCACCTACTCTCTGCCTGCATCCTCTTCCCTGCCCTATCTTCTCTGCTGGCTAGGAGCATGGACTGGAAGGAGGCACCTCTGTGCTGCCACTTTCCCCAGCCAAGTCAGGCTTCCCACATAGCTGCCCCCTGCAGCGTGGAGTAGGAGCAGGTCAGAGGTGGCTCTGGGGCTCCCCTGTGCCTGTATCTGCTGGGGGCATCAGCAGTGATAGCAGCACACAGGTTCCCCCTTCCAGCACCTGCTTCCAGCTAGCAGGGCAGGTGGAGGGGATGGAAAGGGAGCAGGGGCTGAAAGAGCAGGTCAGGAGCAGCTCTGGGCTTCCCCCTGCACCTGGATCAGCTGGGGACATTGCCGTTCTGCATGGCTCTTGGCTGTAGCAGTCCCATACTCGATTCTAAGACAAGGCTTTGTTTCCCCCATGTTGAGTGAAAGAAAACCTCATCTTGGAACAGAGTAAATCCAGTGTGTATATATATGAGGATTCTCCATATACCTCAGGATTACTGAAAGGAACATTTCCTACATCTCTCTCAATGATAATATATATATTCTGTCCTTTCTGTTGAGGACAGAGGAAGGCTGTTATCTGGAGCTGCTGATGTATGGGAACCTGAAGCTTTCAGAGAACTGAAATAAGTCTACTGTGTGGTGGGGCAAAGTTATGTGAATTGATTAAATTATGAAACCTCTAAACAGTTTTATGAAATTACAGGTTTATGATTTGGGCCAAGATGGTCAAGGAATGGCACGAGTTGCTTCTGTTTCTCAGAATGCTGTTGTTTCTGCTGCTGGAAATATAGCCAGGTAATATGAAGACTATGATATGGAATGGTTCCTGGGAGGTGATGGGTTTTCTGTGCATATTATGGAACATTTTAATAGTGTTGTTTGTTTACTTGTTTGAATTACTTATTGCATGGTATCAGTTACAAGAAACTTTTTTTTTAAGGACTATAGATCGTTCTGTTTTCAAGCCTATTGTTCAAATAGCAGTGATAGAAAATTCGGAATCCATAGATTGTCAGCTGTTGGCAATCACACATGCAGGTAAGAAATTATTACTGTTAATATTAATTATCATTAAGTATTAATAATCTCTCTATTGATAATATTACCGCTATGCTAAGAAAACTGACAAATGCATGTTTTGCAAGGCTATCTATCTCAACAAAAATGGGTGAGAGCATTTAAATAACAACAGTCCTAACAACATGATCTTATGTTTTTTCTATCATTTTATTTATTTAGAGTACTCAGGCACCTTATAAAGATTGTCATCTTCACATAAATATTACCTCTATTTTACAGGTAAGGCTAATAGTAAGGTGCCAGAAGTTACAGGGAGTTAATGACAGACCACAATTAGCATCATTTGGCCTGGAAAGTCAGTTCATTTCATGAAATAATGTCATAAGGGTTGCACAGAATTTCTTGCAAGTCTCAGAATTAAGCCTCCCAGGTTTAGTTGACTAACCTATAATCATTCACACCAATCCATTCAGATTCTTTTTCTGTCTTGTACAGGTGTACGACTGTATTTTAGTACATCCCCATTTAAGCATCCGGCAGCAAGGCCCTCCATGTTAACATTGGTTCACGTCCGCTTGCCTCCAGGATTTTCAGCTTCTTCAAATGTGGAGAAGCCATCCAAAGTGCACAGAGCTCTTTACAGCAAGGGTAAGCAATGGAGTACAGTTTAAATGAGATCCATTCTTGAAGGCCTTTATAACTAGTAAAGCTACTGTAACTGCTGCTTACAGCAGGCAGCTTGAGAGGATGGAAATGTTAAGGCCTATGAGTGTAATGTCCCTTCTGCCCACACAAATATACAAAAGCAAAAACAGGTTTTACTTTTCAGCAAATCTGAGTCTATCAACAGGTAGAAGAGGTATCCCAACAGACAGAAGAGGTATCCTAGATTAGACTTTCCATGAGGCTATCAGTAGCAATCCTATCTGGTTCACAGAGCAGTAGACTCATAGATGCTAGGGTCGGAAGGCCCTTACCATGCAAGTGGCCCTCCTCTGGACCCTCTCAAGTCTATCAATATCCTTCTTGAAGTACGGCACCCAAAACTGAATGCAATACTCAACTGCGGTCTGACCAGTGCCACATAGAGGGGAAGTATCACCTCTTTGGTTCTATTTGCCATGCATCTGCTGATGCGTGATAAAGCGCGGTTAGTTTTGCTGATGATTTCATCACACTGACAACTCATGTTCATCTTGGAGTTCACTGTGACTCCAAGATCCCTTTCCACTTCTGTGCTGCTGAGAGGGTCATTTCCCAGCCAGCAGGTGTGCTGGATATTTTTACGCCCTAGGTGCAGCACTCTGCATTTGTCCTTGTTGTACTGCATCCCTTTGGGTACTGTCCACTTTTCTAACCTGTCCAGGTCTGCCTGCAATCATTCCCTACCTCCAGAGTGTACACTTCACCCCACAATTTAGTACCGTCAGCAAACTTGGACAAAGTATACTTCACACTCACATCCAAGTCACTGATGAAGATATTGAAGAGAACAGGTCCAAGGACCGAACCCTACAGGACCACACTACCCACATCCTTCCAGGTCAATACGGACCTGTCTACTACCACTCTGTGGGTGCGACCGCTAAGCCAATTTGCCACCCACCGGACTGTGTAAACATCTCTGTCACAGATGGTCCCCAAAATGATTTCAACGAAAATTTAGTCTCATTTTCTTTTTTTTTTTATATTATAGTTAACTTTTTTTCAGTTTAAGGCTTTACTCCATAGTTTGTGGTTTTAGGGCCACGTCAACGTACATGATAGTGAAATGTAGTTAGCCATGGTAGTCTGAAGTCAAGTAGAAGACAGGGTAGATTTACACCTTATAGACTAACCAAAGCAGATAAATTTCTACATGTGTATGTATATCATAATGTTCGTCTACTTTGGTTAGTCTGTAATGTGTAAATCCACTCTGACTTACACATGTAGGTCTTCTTTTTAGGGTAAGTGAAGAGTGAAGACAAAATTGATCAGGTGTAAAATTGTATCGTTTCTGAGCCCAGATAACAAACAATTATTGTTAACCTATCATTAAAAAACATAAATGCAGGTGCATATGGATAGACCTGTGGATATTGTCTGAAAATTATACAGGCAGTCCTCGAACTTACGACACAATTGGTTCCTGAAAACTGTGTCTTAAGTCAAAAAGTTGTAACTCTGAACCAATTTTCCCATAGGAAACAATGTTATAAATTTGGGATTGGTTCCTGAACCAAGGCCCGATACCCTATTTTCACCAAAAATAACCCAGAATTTTGTATTTAATCAATTATAGATGAGTAATATAGCTACATTAATGTATTTATATTGTAAATAGCAATCATATTGATTTGGAAGGACTTCTTTGAGGTGACTTTGCTGGACTTTTTGAAGGGTTGTTGGCTGGAGTCTTCTCAGAAGTCTTGGCTGCAGGTTTTTCTGGAGTCTTGTCTGCTTTCTTAAAGAAAGTGTCCAAGGAAGTTTGGACAGATGTTCTCCAGGGAGATCGGCAACACAGCGAACTTGTTTGCTCGCGTAGCGTGGCGTGGCATGGCATGGGATCAAGCATTGTAAAGTCAAAACTGATGTCAGAAAGTTGAAACAAGGTGTCAATTTATAAACCTTGTAAGTGTGAAGTGTTGTAACTCGAAACGTTGTAAGTCAAGGACTGCCTGTACATGTAAATTAGCTGTGGCATGATTCCTGATGAGCTTCCTGATGAGGAAGGGCCTTGGTGTTGTGGAAGTGCACCCATCCTGCAAGCACATCAGAGAAATACATATATTGTTTTATCAACTATCTCCTCCTTGATAATTAAAAATTACCTTTGTTATCACCCTCTAAATGCATCAATCCACATTCTTGACATTATCCTTGTGATGGAATGAGTCTGTTTTAAGGAACAGCTTTCAATATTCATCACGTTGACTTTATAACTAGTGCATATATTTATAGTGCATGTCAAAATATAGTACAAAAAGGATATGAGAAGCTGCTTAATCAAAAGAACAGTGACATTAAATATAAGTCAAAATGATGACCCCAAGATATTTAAGTTTATAAACTCAATAGGTTATTCCTTCTTATGATGTTGTTCACATTGTAAGATTAATAAAGGAAGCTTTAGAAGAGACTTATTTTGGACATACACTATTGTTAAAACTATTTTTATTTGATATAAAGACCCTACTGGAAGCAGAAACTTACATTGTACCATTTTCTCAGGTGTCTTACTGATGGCAGCTTCTGAAAATGAGGATAATGATATCTTGTGGTGCATCAATCATGATTCTTTCCCTTTTCAAAAAGCTATGATGGAAACGCAGGTAGGAAGCACTGTATTTTAAATTATGTGATGGGTTTTTTTTGATGGAATACAGTTTAAATTATTAATTAAATATTTAGGCGCCAAGATAATTTTTAAGTTCATTTCTGGAAGAACATAGCTTAAGCAAAATTCCTGTGATTGTTTATTGAGTAAATATTTATTAAGCTACCAAACAATATAGTAATTTTGGTAGGTATTTCTGGCAGTTGGACCTGCTGCTTTAGTGATATCTGCCAAGCTGGAGCTCAGCTAGATGCAAATAAGAGTTGATTGAATCACCTTGGCCATTAGAAATCTTTGAAAATTTTCTCTGGTTCATATTCCAGTGGTGCCTGCAATGTGCTGGGCATACTTCACAAACACAGCAAGCCACAGTTCCTGTTACAAAGTGTTTTTAATCTAAGAGGAGCAACTGTGGAAGGGTGGGGCAGAGGGTTTAGTCAAAACAAGGATAAACCATACCTTGCAAACACACATCAGCTGTCTGAGGTGTCCACTCAGCCTGCTGTTATTTGGCCAATTTCTTATTTGTGTGCCAGAAAAAGTGTGTCTTTAGGATGGCTTTAAAGGAGGGAGTTGCTTTATAGGATCAGTTCAGATAGGCTGTTCCACGCAATGCTCAGCATTGGGAAGATTTCTCGATTACTGTTGAAGCGGACAAGTAAAAATATTACCCAAAGGTAATATTGACAAAACAAAATCAGGGACAAGGTGAGCAAGATAAGACCAAAAAGAAAACTAGAAAGTGGTTAACTTCGAAGTCTTATGTAAAGTCAGGTTTGGGCTGATTTTTTTTCAGTTGGTTTTACAAGTGTTGTAAAGATATCTTGCCCCTCTTCCTTTTCTCCTAAAGATCTTTTTACAGTAGAAGCATCAGGTCCTTGTTACCCTCTGCTTACAACAACTTTTTGGCCAGCTTGGTGCAGGGGACTGGTGTGTCATGCAAACTTGTACCTGAACTGCAGTTCTCCCCTTATTTCTCCTTCTTGAAACATTGGGTATAAACAGATGTCTCCAAATGAAGCAAATCAGCTGTGGCAGGATGTGTCCTCCCAAAGCAGACCCATTTCATTGGGCAAAACACACATCACCCGTTGTCCTTCATTGGGCAGGGGCCCAATCCTGCAGGGGCATGCTTCGGAGATTACCCGGAGTGTGTCTTTGTAAGTGGGAAAACATAGTTTTCCCCACTTAAAGGTGTGCTTCAAGGAATCTCTGAGGCATATCTTTGTAAGTGGGGAAAGCAGGATTCCTCTTGTCACTTTCCTTGTGTCTGTTTCTTCTCTGCAATGTGTAAAATTCATGATTACATAGCTTCTGTGGAGGTGCTCTGTGGTTTGGTCATTTAGAACAGTGATTCTCAACCTTTTTTGTACCAGGACCCATTTGTAAACATCAGTGGTCAGTCCTGACCCACAGCCCCTGGCCTTGCTGATGCCCCACAGTCCCCTGCCACTCTGGGCCATGCTGGTGCCCATCCCTCCCAACCCACCGCCCTCTGCCCCCTCTAGCCCAGCCAGAGGGGGCCCCCAACTGCTCCTATCCCGCTTAGGCTGGAGCACGGTGGCTGCAGTGGCTGTGGCTCATGCGGGCAGCAGTGAAGCGAGTCCAGCCCCAGCACAGGCTGGAGGGAGAAGGAGGGGAGGCCTGTGGCACCTCCCTGCCCTGGGCTGGAGCTCCTGCTCCGTGCCAGGCATCCTGGTCATGACCCCATCCTCCCCACAAGCATCGCCCCTGGCGCCTCTCCCCTGCGAGTACGTTCACCAGCCCCAGTGCTGCTGGCCCAGCCATGCAGCTCCCTGCTACCTCCTTTCCCCACTGGAGGGACAGGCACCTTCCCCCTGCATCCCATCCCCTGATGTAGCCTCGGTGCCTTACCACCTTCCCCCAGTGCTGGCAGGCACCCCCACCTCTTCTCCCCCCTCCAGTACACACACCTGGACAGTCCCCAAGCAAGCCCTGGACCTCCAGCCCCCACTCTGCATACACTTGCCTGCATCCAGCTGCTGGGGCTGCTCCCACGCCCCTGTTTGGCTGCATACCAGCCGTATGCATGTGCGCGTGCAGACACACATATGACCATTTCCCCAAGTAGCTCCTTGCAGGCTGGAAGGCTGCCAGCCTGCAAAGGAAATCCCATGCTTTTCCTGCCTCTTTCTGGGACTTGCTTGCTACCATTTCAAATATTCTTGCAACTCACTTTTGTGTCGTGACTCATGGTTTGAGAAGTACTGTTTTAGCAGAGCCTCATTATCTAGCTGTGGTATATGGGGAGAGCTGAGAGCAGACTACTCATCTTGGTGTAGGGAGTTACTGGAGTAGCTGGTCTCATGCCCAGGTATTGGTAGAATCATGTTAAAACAGTGAAGGTGTAGCTTGGAAACCAGAAAATTACAAATTGGTTTAAGAGTTATGAACTAAAACAAACGTAGACTTCATTGCATCCTATTTATCAAACGCATTGGCCTGAATTATATTTAAACTACAGTTGCTCTATGACTGGACATTTTAAAAATATTTGTGGTTTGATAGTAGCATTTGGGGGTGGGGGTTTTAAACTGTTCATAAGCATTTAGATTCTGGTACTGTTAGAGAACTTACCTATTACCATATCTTACTTGCATACCAAATGCACCTTTTTCCTGAAGATTAGCCCTCCAAAATTCAAGCACAGGTCTTAAGTAAAGATAGTGATGTCCATGATGAAAAGGGGGCACTGGAATAGCTGCTGGGAACTGGCTTCACACTTGGCTTCCAGCCTCACAGAGGAAGAGCAGAATTTAGCCACTTACCCTCTTACTGCAGCTAGAGGTTTAACCCTTTCAAAGCTGCCGAATTGGCTTTTTAGCCAGAAGCTACTGCCAATTCAGCAGTAGCTGTGTGGGGGTTAAACTTCTAGGTATGGAGCTGCAGAGAGGGTGAGTGACGTGCAAGGGTGGGCTCTGCCCATCCTCCCTGTGGCCAGCATTCAGCTATGGTGAGCCCATGTTGTGGCAGGTAAAATTGTGAAAAAACTTCATATTGCCTTCCTTAAACAAGGTGCATGTCTTTCGGGGGGAAGGGGTGCTATTTGAGTAAATGTGATAGTTATTTGTATTTTACTAGCATCTGGAGACCCTAATCAATTTGTATTTATAAATACTGAACAGACATTCCCTGCCCTAAGAGCAATTTGCTCTTACATTAAATTTTAGGCAACTGTTTATTTTAGAGAATTCTAGTTGTTCAATTTCTGTCCCATGTGGTTTTAAATGATTTGTAAGATATTACCGTAGATATACAAAATGCATTCTGTATCAGACTTCTGATCAAGTTCATCTCTCATTCAGATGACCACGCGCGTTGATGGGCATTCGTGGGCGCTTTCTTCCATCGATGAGTTTAAGGTTCAAAAGATTATAACACCACTAAATAAGGACATTATTCCCATAACTGATTCACCTGTTGTTGTACAACAGCATATGCTGCCACCAAAGAAATTTGTCCTGCTGTCAGCCCAGGTGTGTATTACAGTGTTTGGAAATTAGAAAAGAAACATAAATATAAAGTTTAATGAGCAGCCCAGTCCTACTAATGGCTAGTCATGTGAGTAATTGTGTAGGATTGTGACCAATAGTGAAGGTGGGGTGAAGGGAACAATGTTGGGAGCCATTTGCCAATTCTGTTAATGGACTCGGTGTTCTAGGGCCAGATTGTCTTGAGAAGCTGGTCCCATCACAACACCACTTACGTAGAGAATGTACAGATACATGCTTTGCACGTGCTATACAAATGCTGCAGAATTTTAAGGACTGGGCTATTATAATTCAGGGCTTGCAGCAGCTAGTTTAAGTAAGTGTAGCTGCACTAAAAACAAAGCTTGAGCTGCACAGGGCAGTCTGATTAGCAGGTGAAAATTCTGCTAACCAAGACTTTAGCTTGTAGCTGTCCTGTGATATGCATTTCTACATGACAGCTTTTGCAGAACCCTCCAGCCCATAGAATACTAGGGTTGGAAGGGACCTCATCAGGTCATCTAGTCGAACTGCCTGCTCAAAGCAGGACCATCCAACTATATCATCCCAGCCAAGGCTTTATCTAGCTGGATCTTAAAAACCTCTACGAATGCAGATTCCAGAGCCTTTCTGGATAACCTGTTCCAGTGCTTTACTACCCTCTAGGGAGAAAGTGTTTTTTAATATCTAATCTTAACATCCCTTGCTGCAACTTGAGACCATTGCTCTTTGTTCTGTCATCTGCCACCACTGAGAACAGTCTAGCTCCATCCTCTTCGGAACCACCCTTCAGGTAGTTGAAAGCTGCTATTAAATCCCCCCTCAGTCTTTTCTTCTCTAGACTAAATAAGCCCAGTTCCCTCAGCCTCTCCTCAGAAGTTGCATGCCCCAGCCCTCTCGCCATTATCGTTACCCTCCACTGGACTATCTCCAATTGGCCCACGTCCTTTCTATAGTGCTAGGCCCAAAACTGAACACGGTACTCCAGATGTGGCCTCACCATGGCCGAGTAGAGGGGGAGAATCACTTTCCTTGCTCCGCTGGCAGTGCTCCTACTAATGCAGTTCAGTATGCCATTAGCCTTCGTGGCAACATGGACACACTGTTGGCTTGTATTCAGGTTATTGTCCACTGTAACTCCCAGGTCCTTTTCTGCAAACCTGCTGCCCAGCCAGTCAGTCCTCAGCCTGTACTGGTACGTGGGATTCTTCCATCTGAAGTGCAGGACTTTGCACTTGTCTTTACTGAATTTTATGAAATGTTGTTTGATTCAATCCTACAATTTGTCTAGGTTTGTCTAAATCCTAGCCATATTCAGTGCATCTACTTCTTCCCCCAGTTTGGTGTCATCTGCAAATTTGCTGAGGGTGCACTTCATCCCATCTTCCAGATTTGTTAATGAAGACATTGAACAAAGCTGGCCACAGGACTGGTCCCTAGGGCATTCTGCTTGATACTGGCTGCCAACTAGACATAGAGCCATTGATTACTACCTTTCAAGCTTGACCATTCAGCCAATTTTCTATCCACCTTACAGTCCATTCATCCAACCCGTACTTCCTTAGCTTGCTGGCAAGAATGTTGTGGTAGACTATATCAAAAGCCTTGCTAAAGTCAAGCTATAACACATCCCCTGGTCTCCCAGTATCCATGAAGCCAGTCATTTCATCATAGAAGGCAATCAGGTTGGTCAGGCATGACTTACCCCTAGTTAATCCATGCTGACTGTTCCTAATCACCTTCTTCTCCAAGAGCTTAGAAATGGATTCTTTGAGGATCTTCTCCATGATTTTTCCAGGGACTGAGGTGAGGCTGATTGGTCTATAGTTCCCCCGATCTTCCTCCTTCCCTTTCTTAAAGATAGGAACAATATTTGCCCTTTTCCAGTCATCCAGGAACTCCCAATTGCCACAAATTTTCAAAGATAATGGCCTGTGACTGCAATCACATTGGCTAACTTCCTCAGCAAATTCGGGTGCATTGTGTTCAGCCCCATGGACTTATACCCATTCAGCTTTTCCAAGTAGTCCCTAACCTGTTCTTCTGCTACTGTTGGCTGCTCACCTGCTTAAGCTGCTGTGAGATGCAGTAGGCTGTGAAGACTAAGGTAAAAAAAAGCATTGAGTACTTCAGCCTTTTCCGCATCGCTAGGTTGGTCCCTCAGTAACGGACTCACACTTTTCCTTATCTTCCTCTTGTTGCTGACATGTGTAGAAACCCTCCATGTTACCCTGCACATCCCATGCCAGCAGCTAGCTGTCCCCCATGAAAACCAGGACCTGTGATGGGGAAACTTCCGCTAACTGTTTGAAGAAAGCCTCATCCACCACTTCTTCCTTGTCCACTGGTCCACAGCAGACCGCCACCACAACATCACCCTTGTTGCTCTCCCTCTGACCCTAACGAACCCAGAGACTTTCAATGAGTCTATCTCCAGTTTCATTCTGGAACTCTGAGTATGTTCTTCTGCTTCTGAGCAGTTTACACCCATCCATGACCGTATTCCAGTCATGCGAGCTATTCCACAAATTCTCTGTTATTCCAAATATATCATAGTTCTGCGTCTGTGCAAGAACTTCCAGTTCTCCCTGTTTCCCAGGCTTCGCACGTTCATGTACAGACACCTGAGGTAACTAGCCGATTGCCCTACTTTCTCAGGGAGATTGAGAAGACCTCCCATGGTTGTTTGTTCTTTGAACCTGTGCAGCCTTATACAGGCAGGGGGAGAGAAGATTTAAGTTAAAGCACCTACTGTGCTTTAGTTCAGTCTGGAACCCATGCACTTTGCAGTGAAGTTGTAGGCAAGGTTATTTGAGCACGTATTTTCTTCCTGTGCCTTTCTTACCATTTCCCTGAAGGAAAATATCTCCTGTAATTGCTGCAGTTGACTGAGAATCCTAGAGTATCTTGGAGCAGAGATACTCAGAACTGGGACACACAGCCAAGAGCACAAGCAGTGAGGAAAGAGAGTATATTTTCACTGAAAACTGTGGCATGTAGAAGAATATCCAAGCTAGCTTTGCTAGCAGTTTAGCCTCACAACCCAGAACTCAGTGAAGCTAATATAACCCTGCTTCTTTTGAGCCACAGATTTTTGTGGGTGGATGGGACTTCAGTTATAAACAACACTCAAGTTGTACTTTGTGCTAACAGTGTAATGAATCCAAGCCCCTGGTGTGTTAAAGATGAGTGTATTGGATATCTGTCAGTTTAAAAGTAGAATATATTTTTGCTTCAGAATTGTTTTATTTTTCTCTAGGGGAGCTTTATGTTTCACAAACTCAGACCTGTAGATCAGCTACGACATCTCCTTGTTAGCAATGTCAGTGGTGATGGAGAAGAAATTGAAAGGTTTTTTAAGTTACATCAGGTAGGACTCTTTATCTTGCCATGAAAAGCAAGCATGTATTCAGTGCAAGTGTAATCACATACCTGAGTCTGTCCATGGAGTAAGTGTGGCTGTTCTTTGACTACAGGAATGTTAATTGTCATTTAACTTCAGGCCTATGAGAATAGGGAAGTAGTTGATTTGGATTCAGATTCAGCCAATTCAGAGGACAGTGATTCAATTCAGATCACTGTCCTAAATTGATTCGGCCAAATCAGCTTTGGAAGATTCGGTGCTGATTCAGAGATTCGGTGATTTGGATTGGCCGGGGGGAGGCAGGCACAGCCGAGCAGCTCCTCCAGCTGTGCCTGCCTCTCCCCAGGCGGGCGGAGCTGCGAGAGAAGCCTCCATGACTGCCCCACCTGGCCCCAGCCTCATGGCACTTTAAAAAATAAAAATAAAAAAAGAGAGCCCCATGCTTACTGGCTGCAGCAGGGGATCTGGGGCCTTCTGGCAGAGGCCCCCCTGTGCAGACCCCACTCCCCGATCACGCCCCCACCTGACCCTGGCCCCAGCATCTGGGAATCAAAAAAAGAAAAAAAAAAGCCCCGCACTCACCGCCTGTAGCAGCGGTGATTGGGGCCTCTGGGTGCTCATAGCAGAGCCCCCCCCCTGCACAGCGCAGGGCAGTGAGGGGCAGCAGGGATTGCCGCCACCTGGCACCCACACGGCAACTGCCCCATGGCACGGGCACAGCGCAGCTCCGCAGGGCACCACACACTGTGTGGGAGCTGAGGCTGAGTGATGCTGGGCTCTAGCTGACACATGGAGCTGCCCCAACTCTCAGACAGCATGCAGTGCCTGCTGAGCTGCACTGCACCTGTACCATGAGGCAGCTGCCATGCAGGTGCCAAGGTGAGTGGGGATGATCCCTGCTGCCCCCCACTGCCTCATGCTATGCCCTGAGGCTGCTGCAGAAGCTGGTGAGTTCGGGGGGAGGTTGGTTATTTTTTTCTTAAAGGGCTGGAGCTGGGGTGGGTGGGGCAGCCATGGGGAGGGGGCTAGGAGGGGAGGGGG